TTTCTAGAGGTATAGAAAATGTCTTCACATAAGAGGAAAAATGTGCATGCATACATTGTGGCATAAAGACAGATTCCAGGCACTCAAGTGGATGCCTAAAGAGCCCATGGCATGCACATTTCTAGCCATTTAATCTTGGGTACTACAGGTAATTGAGAAACCCCATATTTTAATGCAGGCGTATTAACTTCTCCAGCCTTACAATAATTCTTTGTTTCAGAAACAAGGCAGTAAGTTTTTTTATTTTTTTATTTTTTAAACTGTTAAGTCCCACTGAGTAGTGGAAACATCAGCGAGCGTTTGCGAGACTTGTATAAACCAGGCTGCTTCTGCATAGAAATACTAGAACATATGTACACTTTTTTTTTTTTTTTAGCTTTAGGTCACATCTAAGATAATTCAGAAAAGCATGCCATGGGCTCTTTAAGAATGAAAATTCTTTAACATTGTAAAGACACACTGCATGCGCAGTTTGTTCAGAAATGCATTTGTGTTGGTATTTATATTTTTAAAACTTTCCACCAATATTTATTTAGTTAAAAATGAGTATGCCAGGGGCAGATGGCACTGGTACTGCTAGTGCTATTGCTTGTTGGATCGCCACTTAACAAAGGTCATAATCGGATCTTTTTAGTTTGTCCTCACAGTATATTATTGTAACACAACTTTGTCTCACAATGCAGAGCACTACATTTAAGTCTCCCAGTGTCGAAGGAACTGTAACAGTTTGTTTTTCTGCAGACCTCGGTTCCAACAACAGTGGCTACTATGACCTGCAGGCTGTGTTGACACACCAGGGCCGCTCTAGCTCATCAGGTCACTATGTGGGATGGGTCAAAAGGAAGGAAGGTAATCACAGATGTGACTTGCATCACTCACCAATCATAAAAGTACATAGGAAGCCAGCCCCAACTGTACACAGGTGTTCACACCTCATTCCTGTGGTCTCTCCCTCTGGTAGATGAGTGGGTCAAGTTTGATGATGACAAGGTGAGTCTGGTGTCTCCAGAGGATATCCTACGACTGTCTGGGGGCGGAGACTGGCATATAGCATATGTTTTACTGTACGGCCCCCGGCGGCTGGAACTTCTTGAAGAGGAACAGTAGCTTTGGAAGATTTCTTACAAGACAACATCCAACACATACAGATTGCCATTTCCAAGCACTGTTTGCATAGATGTGCAATAAAACTGGTGTCTTTAAAGATTTGATTACCTTAATTTTTTTTGTTTTGAAACCAACACAGATGCTTGTAAAATTCTGTCAAATGGTGTTAAAAATATCTAATCATGGTAGGCTTTGAAAATGGAGGCAGTCTTTGGACTGGATCCTTGAAAGAGGTTTTTAAGTCTAGCTCTGCAGTTTCAATGTTTTATACACATTGTATATTTTTTTAAAGCCTTTGACAAGGTGTTCATATCATTAAAGCAAAATATTTCTCTTTAGTCATTTAATCAACTTGTACAAACATGCCTAGCCAAACTGTCGTCCTGGGCGTTTTGGCTTGTCTTCTCAGTTGTAATATGGAGATTTTCACTTTAACACTGTAAAGCCTTGCCCTCGTTCCCACTGTGGGAAATGCTTGTTGTAGGAAGTGTGTGGAGAACAGGTTCATCACAGGTTGCCCCTTGTGGTGAATGAACTGTGTGAAGTTAAATAAAGACTTGATTCAACCTTGATAGTTTACTCGACTAGCCTTTAACATCATTCTTGCCAATACTGATCACAGACGTCATCTGTTCCCTTAGAATGCTCTACTTTTCCTCCATGCAGTTTCCTGAACTTCCTGCCACAATGTACAAGATGTAACCATTAACTCTAAGTTATTCACTGATTGCATTTCATAGATGAAAATAAACTTAAACTGAAATGTTAGTTTTATTTGAAAATTTTTATTGGACTTTCTACAGTGAAAATAATTTGGTTTTGGTACTAAAAAAAAAAAAGATACAACAATGTAATGTAGGTACTGAGAAAGTAATGAACTATCTACTTCAAGCCTCATTGAGGCTGTCTGCAATCTGGGAGAACCCTGCAGCATTAAGAGCTGTGGTCAGGTTCTCCACAGTAGCTTGTGTTCCCTCTCTGTCCTGCCAGGCTACAAGCAGCAGTTTGGCCTGCATGTCAACATCTTCACTGTCTGTTTCAATCTCTCGCAACTCTACCGCCTTCATCTCCAAATGAGAAGCCAGCATCTTCCACTGAGCCCCCAGTTTAGCTGCAATGTCATCCATCTGCTGATTTGTCACCAGCTTGCTCTGTATGCTCGGACCTGGAAGAAGGACAACAGGGAGGAAATTGACTTGGTCTAATGACGAGAATTAATATTCTACACTAGGATCTTTAAAAAAAAAAAAAAAAAGATGGTCCAGCTGGGCTGAAGCTACTTAAAGTGTTGTAGATATTGTTGGAGGTAGCTTGAGTAGCATAAAAGTGACTCTGGACTTGATGGTAGGTGCAACATTGACTGAGGGGTAATGAATGATAATACCAACTCACTGTCATTGCTGTCTTTGAGAAGATTGTCTCCATTATCGTCATCATCCTCTTCTCCTGTCTTTATCTCTTCAGATGGGATATCTTTCTGTATGGAGGGACATGAAAAATCAGGATAATAGTTAACAGCTACAGACAACAACAAATCAGGATAATAGTTAACAGCTACAGTAGGTATTATGCAGTCTTTTTAAAATAATGAATACCAATTTATTTTTTTTAATTTAAACTCTCACCGGCAGTTCTTTAGCCAGTTTGCTGACCATGCTGTCTAGGTAGTCAGCCAGGCTCTTGAACTTCTGATTAGTTGGTTGAAAGAAGTGTGGGCTTCTCCTGGACAGCAGTCTGAGAGCGCGCCAGCCGTAGTTTGGGTTCCGTACAACCCTACATAGAGAAGAGAGACAGAGAAAATTCACACAACCAGACACCGTGAGGAGACTGGGAGCTAAGCCATTTAAGCAATAGATCTTAAACGTTCCTCTCGCAAACTGACTTTCAGAAGTTCTGACAGGGTTTGTTCAGCTCACACTTACTTGTACTCTTCCTCCACCATGTTAGCAGGGTCAGCCTGTTCGATGGCCTCAGTGAAGAATTCATCTAGTGATGGCATGAACTCCCTGAAAGGAAGAGTTTTGGCCAGATGTTTAAAAAAAATTAAAACACCTTTAACTACGACTTCAATAATAAACATTATAGAATTTATACATTTGTGACAATTTCACCAAAAACAAACATTTCAAGCTTCATAAACACAGGTGTTGCACTGAACTGCAGACCATAATACAGGTGTGCCTAATAAAGTGGCTGTGAGTGTATACAAAAAGTTGAATGAATGACTGGAGATGGAAACACCTACCTTGTTTTCTGAACCACTGACCTGCTGTCTGACTTGCAGGCTTCCATATTGTCTGGGTTCAGGTTCCACAGTCGAGTCAGCTCATCACTAACAACAAACATAAAAGCTTAAACTATAGAAGTAAACACAGGTTGTTCATAGGCTTATGGGTGATTGTTAAAGATCTAACAAAGGCAAACGTGATCTGCTTAGAACAACATGGAGCTTCACTACAAACTAGTCCAACTGCCAGCCAAAGATATTTTAGCAGATAGAAGTTTACATCCGGACCTTCCAGTTCAAATGAAAAACTCCCTCCACTTTGCAGTAAACCCCCCACCCAAGCATTAGATCACGTACTTTCCCATGAAGATCTTGCGGTCTGGTCCTTTTCCTAGGAAGTCTTCTGGTGCTTGTCTTTTCCTGGTGGGTCTTTTAGGTTTGTCATCAACTGTCCTGTTAAATAGGAAAAAATGTAATTATGTCTGGCCCACCACATTACTTTCTAGCTCAAATAGATGTATAAAAAAAAAACAAACCTAAGGCTGCCATACCTCTCTTTTACAAAGCTCGGGCATCCCTCGTTTTTCCAGGAATTCCAGTTCTCCTCTGTGTTGAGGATATGCTGTTAAAAATAAGAAACATTCCCAGTGTATGGAGAACTCGTAACAACAAACTTGACAGAATGAGACTGGACAGGTGGACCACATGTAATGTTTGATACAAGCTTTCCTAAACATATGGCTTACTTCAACCATGGTGGCAAACTTGTCTCCATCAGGGGGGGTCTCTCTCAGCAGCTACAAGAGAACATGTGGAGTGAGCAGCAGAAGTCAAAGTGGTGGATATCTGTAGGCCCCACCAAATCAATCCAACTTTATCTAAAGCTGGACACACACTTGATGACTAAAACCTAAGGCTGGACAGGCCACACTTAAAATGATGGCTTCCACCAACTTGCACAGCTTTTAGCCCAGTCGGTTGGGAAGGAGCACACACCTAAGGACCAATCAACCTCTGTGGACAACACACTTAATAACTATGTGTAATGACTGGAAGTTCTGGCAGCGGACAAGCCTGTAAATCCCACAAGATCATGCCAATTTGCACGTGTCCTCGTACCAAAACAATAATAATAATCAAAACAACTATCAAAAATGACTGAGCCAGACTCTGTCCATCTTGATCCAATCAGTCATCGCATCCAAATAGCATTCATAATTACCACTGCAGTCGTCAAGTGTGTGCCCAGCTTAAGGGGATAAATAACTTTTTCCTTTTACATTTCAGTGAACACTTAACTGTTTTTACATTAGTCTGGTTTTCATCCAAACAGATAATAGGAAGAATGTGAGTTATATTTATTTATGGATTACAGAAGCTACTAGTACAGTGTGTGTGAAACTTAGGACTGACCTGGTAGACCAGTTTAGTTGTTTCTTCAATCCACGTAGTTTGGTCATCATTCAGAACACAGGTGGAACTGAAGGATGACAAAAATATACTAATAAATCCACAATGACAAACAGATGTTTTTCACGCCAATGGCTAGTGGTGCAACGGATCAAAAAGCTCACGGTTCGGATCAGATCATGGTTTTGAGTCACGGATCGGATCAATAATAAAATGAATAAAGACAAGACAAAGTTAACTTTATTTATTTATGTTTTTTTTGCTGCCCATTAAAAACATTCAACTAAAGACTCATTCCACTCAATTATATAAAAACAAATTAAGGTGCATAGGGCATGATTATTATTTTCTTATTGTGGACACAATCAAAAACAACTTAAAATGCAATTTAAGGTATTGCTTCTTACTTTGAACATGGAGAGTGAAATAAAAACTATGGTTTATGTCCACATCATCAAAAAAGAACAGACCTGAGTTTATAATTTCAATTTTTCAAAAAGATGAGCATGTCTACATTTTCTGGGGAGAGTGTAGATCTCTTTGCTGTAACTATGTCCCCTGCTGTTGAGAACACCCTCTCACTAGGCACTGAAGTGCCAGGCACAGCAAGATGGCGT